GCAGAGATAATAACATGCACACACACACACACACACCACACACACACACACACACAACCAAGACAGAGCAAACAAAGCGATAAAAGAAAACAAACCAACGAAAACAACCTCTAAGCCACGTCCGAGTATCCCTGGTGGCCTAGTGGATCAGTGGTTCAAACCTACTCGTCACTCTGTGTGAGGAAGCCGTGACTATCTACTCCCATGAAGACTCGCAGTCTCGGAAGCGCTCTCCAGCCAATCTACTCTTCTTACAGGACCCCATGCTGTGGCCTCAACTAGACAGCAGGGGGTGTTGATTTGGGTTTGAGAGACACCTAAGGAGTGTGGCCCAATGGGGAAGAGCTCATCCCACCAGGCACTTCATGGGCCTGAAGACCTGGTAATGACTTCAGCATAAGAAACCCAGTGGGGCAGCCTGTCATAGAGGGTCCCTGTAAACCGGAATTGACTGGATAGGAGAATGACCCCACAACTACATCAGGAAAGAAACAAACACATGGCTTGACACCTTGGACAACACACACAATTGATGTTCAGCAACATTATAATTGTACCCTGGGATGCTATGTCAAGAGGACAAGAATCGTGATAATCCCCAGAGGAGCAATTCCTAATTCGTATCAATCTGTCTTCTCTACCTATATTAAACAACAGAGTTTCACAACAAGCGTGTCCTTAGAAAAATCAATTGTGGGTTTTTCTTTAATAGCGGTTGATAAGCACACAAAAATGTACCCCATGAGCCACCGACAGTAACTTTTTCACTACAAGAGTTATAACTTACTCATCTTCTGAAAAAACCTTTCCATTGAGCATATTTCTCCCGGTAGGCGCGTAGTCCCAAGTAGTTTCTCTAATGCCTATGTAGTAAAATCTGTCTTCTGCCACACTGAGAGAGGGCATTGATGCCAGAAAGAAGGTCAGGGGGACAAGGCTCCTCATTTTCAAATCCTGAGCCTGGAGAGGTGAGCTGAGTGGAGCTGATCTTTCATTTATAACCCAGGCTGTCTTCCTTTATTTGTTTCTGTTTGCATAGATCAGGGTTACATAAGACGACACTGGTCATTTCAACCTACTTAATGACATTTGCTTTTCAAATGCATTTGGTTTCCATTTGTCAGATCAGGTGAGATATTGCATAACGAACAGGAAATACTGGATAGAGGCCCAGCATGTACTTCCAGTTCAATGTTTGGCCGAATTACCAGATAGACTGGTTGCCTAGATCATTCCTCATGTCCTAATGACTATTTTCTATCCTTGAGTAAGGAAGTGTGTGATTGCTACCTCAAAGATTGGTGGGTGGCTCCCCTCACTCCTCCAGGGACAGTGTCAGCCACTTTGGGACATCCTGATCTAGAGTTTGATGCTATAATTGTTTCTGGTTGGTTCTTGGTAGGCAACCACCTGTTGCAATGTCACCCACAATGCTTTGGTCTTCTAGTGAAAGTGGGCAAGTGAAGCTCTCAGTAGCTCACTTACACCAGTAAGTCAAGAACAACGACTACTAGGGTTCCAGCTCATACATGCAGGGACTCATTCCAAGCAAAATGTGTTGAAGAACATCTCTACGATCAGTGGGTAGAGGCAGATAAATCAAGTACTGCTTAGTCATCCACTCATCTTGGTTCCATTAAGGTGCCTTCCTAGCCCCGCACACCGCCACCAAGCCCCCACCCAACCCCACCCCGGAAAAAAAACCCCACAAAAAACAAGGATATTCTTTTGTGCCATAAGAAAAAACTTGAAGTCGAGGCAAATAGCAATTAAAAATAATAACACCCAAAAGGACATTTTCCCCAATAACGGAAACTTTCAAGCAAGTGGACTGGAAAGCTGCCCCACATTAATTTTTCAATGGACTAAGTGTTCGAGACGGATCGAGGGAGGCCCGTCCTGGTTGCTCCTTCCCAATGATGGCAAGCCCTTATCTTCTCGTATGAAAACCTTCGTGTGTCATCTGAACTTAAACACAGGCAGCACAGCTCCCTCCACTCTCGCTTCACCCCCTAGTACAACCTTCAGGGGCTACCCACTGGCATGGCATTCCATTGACATTTGCCTCCACCCATTTTTCACCTTTTCCCTTTGAGGTCATGCCCTCCAGCTCACCCTGAACTACCTC